TAGATATATATATATATATATATATATATATATATACATACATACGTACAGTAGATAGATAGGTAGGTCTAATTCTATAAACAGCATTAGTTCGGTGAGTTTGATGAAGGGAAACTTCTCTCTCTCGGTCCTGTAGGAACTGTGGGAATGTTTTCTGCACTAGCTGCTGCGACCAGAAGGTGGCGGTGTCGAGTCAGCAGCTCCGCGAGCCGAAGCACGTGTGTCAGGCGTGTTACGCTCACCTGCGGCCCTCCGCCGTCCCTCCGGCGCTCCCCCCCGCCGAGCTGGAGCTGGAGAAACCCATCACCGCCAGCTCCAACTGAACAAACCCGCTCGACGGAAACGAGCGCTCCGTCAGAATGACTGGCTTCTGTGCAACACTAAACCAGATGTTTAGCATCTGGGCTCGGATTCAAATTTCTTACAATTCTAAGAAGTTCAAAAGTGCAATTCCTGAAAAAATGCAACTATTTTCTTAAGAACCTCTTATTTTTTTCTTAAGGGGAGACACTGCAGGCAAAAGCACTGTTTTTTCACGCACCTGTCAATTTTGAGATTTTGGGCTTTTTATAGTGTTTTTTCAGACCAGTGGAAAGAAAACATGTTAAGTGTTTCTTTTATAGCACTTTATCTATTTCTGTCAATACATTTCAATTACAATACATATTTTTAAAGGCCGTTTTCTCAAAAATGAGTTTTTTTCTCCTACACCGAGCCATAAATCTCCACTTCAGTAGCACTTACACACACCAAACTTTACATTTTTATTCCTATAGTCTATATCCTGAAGGTTTTTACAGAGGGATTTGTTCATATATCATTTGCTTGATTATATACAACAATTTATTCCCCCAAAAATTGTGAAAATATATAGTTTTCTGGCTGTTCAAAGTATTTTCTGAATTATGGAGTGACAAAAAGAGATAAAAACATTTGATTCTCATATGTAAAATAAATTAGAATTTTGAAACTGACTTCGTTCAGATTTTTGTACTAGAAATATATGCAAATTAGCGCATATTTCATTAAATAATCCCTCATTTGCATATTTAAACATAACATTTTAGAAAACTTGTAATACAAAAAATGTTTGCAATTATCAACGTAATCAATCAGCTGGGTAAGTAAGGTGATAATTAGTAGTTAATTTTTTTACCCTATTCACCGGCAGTGTCTCGCCTTGAGAAGAAAATACGCTTAATTTGTTGTTTTCAGATTGCATGACCTTTCTTGCCAAAAACACCTCGTGCAACACTGTTTTCACTCGGATTCGGCCGGATTCATGAAAACATGCTTAGGAAACAAGTTCAAACGTTTAAGATCGATTCCAAGAAGTTCGGAAGAGTCACAAAAACCTTCTTAAGAGAGAAGGTAAGTCATTAGCGTTTCCAATACGTTTGTACGATTCACTGAAATCGGTAGCGCTTTATTTTACAGTCCTGTTCCACGTGTACATACTAATTATACAATTACATAATAACTAGGTGCTAACCCTGAACCTAAACTAAACCCATGCAAGTACTGAGTTTACACAAATTTAAGACATTTCAAGTGCATACAATTCACGCAAATATCCTTAAGATAAATTTCAACAAGTTTGTAAGATTCATGAAAATCCTCTTTAAAAGATGAGTTTAAGATATTTTAACTCCGAGAAGCTCGTGAGATTCACAATAATCATAAGTTAAGATATTTCATAAAAATGCTCTCAAATACAGTTCTCAGATATTTTCTAAATATCTTTTTCTTTCTAAAGAAGAAAATGACGGCTGCAATGTAATCTGCAAGTGTTTATTGGATCGTATGGCGGTTCTTGCAAAAATCTTAAAAAGTTGAGATTTCATAATATATTTCATAATATGAATTCCAGTACGTTTGTAAGATTCATGAAAATCTTCACATTTCTTAAGATAAATGCGTACGAATGTTATTTAATGCATTTCTTGAATAAATTGAATATAGACGTCTTTTTTTAAGATAATTGAATTCATCTTTATTGCGTTCTCATATGTGCCGATTGCTGCCGAAAATGATCAAATTAAAATTGTATTCATTATAAAATTAAAAAAATGGGGTCCCTAATTTGAGTTATTAAATTTTGATTAATTAAGCATCTTACTTTTGGGCATTTAAAACTAGTTGAAGGTTATTATTTTTTAATTAAAGAAACGTGTGATTATTTTTAAACTTTAAAAGATTATTTATGATGATTTTTTCAGGAAGTCAAATTCTTAAGAAAATATAAAAATATAATATTTTCAGGAATGCAAGTTTATTCTTAGGTTTGAAAATGAGGAGAAAATATTGGTTAAGAATTTTACTCTTAAGAATATTTCGTGAATCCGGCCCCTGAGCTTCTGTTGTGGTTATTGTGATACGTGGCCCTGGAGCACTAAAGCAGTCATAAGGGTCAATTTTATGAAATTGAGATTTATGCATCATCTGAAAGCTGAATAAATAAGCTTTCCATTGATGTATGGTTTGTTAGGATCGGAAAATATTTGGAAAATCTGGAATCTGAGGGTGCAAAAAAATCTAAATATTGAGAAAATCATCTTTAAAGTTGTTCAAATGAAGTTCTTAGCAATGCATATTACTAATCAAAAATTAAGTTTTGATATATTTACGGTAGGAAATTTACAAAATATCTTCATGGAACATGATCTTTACTTGATATCCTAATGATTTTTGGCATAAAAGAAAAATGTATAATTGTGACCCATACAATGTATTGTTGGCTATTGCTACAAATATACCCCAGCGACTTAAGACTGCTTTTGTGCTGCAGGGACACATCTGGTCAAATAGTGCACTATGTTAGCGTTAACGTAAATGTAAATGAGAGTTGAATTCGGCTCACCGTCCTTCAGTTGCACGGAAAGCAGGAGCTCAGATGTTCTTCAGACGTGTTGCACTGAAGAAAGAAACTCTGACGTAATGAGTAAACGATGACAGATCTTCCTGTAGGACACCACTCTCGTAATCATGCTCTGCTGAATCCTGATCGATCCGGTCTGAGGAGCACACTTGAATCTGTGTATATTAGATCTGTATGTATATTATGTCACGTGTACAGCCAATGTAATGAAAGCTTGACGGACTGAATGGATGAACTCCAGCAATATATGCACGGGATCTTAAATCAGGAAGATCTGTGTCTGATCTGCTGTCGCTTCGCTGAAGAAATCTCCCACAATGCTGCTGTGTTGGACAGAGCTGCTGCCGTCGCTTATGGAGGCGTTTGTGTGAATGAAATTAAAGCACAACACACTGCCAACCTGATCCACGTCTGTCTGATTTTTTGTCATGATCATATTCAATCCATCAAGACTTTTATGGTTCATAGAGTCTGATACGGTGAGAATATGGAGGAAAAACTGGAGCAAAAATATGCAATTTATATGATGAAATTCTGATGCTTGTAATGTAAATCAATGAGATCTGTATAACAGTACAGCAGATATCAGTCGTCGCTCTATAGCTCCAGTAATCTGAGATTGAAATGATCAGAACATATAATGCAATGATTGAGAGATGAAGAAATAAACATTAAGAGCCTGATGAAAAACATGAAAACAACAATCAGCTTAATATTAAATACCTAATATATATAATTTAACTGCAATGTTATCAATCCACTTCCCATGTGTGGTGGATCTATATACCACAAAAATACATTTAGTAAATAAATCAAGCATTTCCCGGACCCTCCTGAACAAATTTACACTTCAATCCGCCAATGTTCAAACCAAATTAGGGTTATGATCATTAAACTAAAACATTCAGAAGAAAAAAAAAAAAAGTTACTTGAAATAAATGTCAACTGAATTAAAATATTTTTAAAAATTGCGTTGGCAAAACAAAACTTTCAGCTAGCAACATTTCTCATTTTCATTTAGTTTAACTTGAATAATATTAAAATGAATAAAAACTATATTGACAGATTTAAAATTATAATAAAAATGGCAAAATTAGTAAATATAAAAACTAATTCAAAATATCAGTAAAAATATAATAGCATCTTAATGATTCTAAAATAACACTGAACCAATTCTAGGCCCTCATGTAGAAATGAAAATCTGTAAATCTATATTAGTTTATATTAGTTCCTATGGCAATATTTGTAGTGCCATATTGATGAATGTGGCTTTAGTATAATGGGTCATTCCCTGTCAACTCAACCAGAGGTCCCCGGCTCAAATTATTTATATTTTAAGATTTATTTTGTTACCCAGCTGCATCATGTCATTTTTACACAGAGACAGGTAGGTCTATTAATAAAATCTGCTGACTTTAATAATCTTTGTTGCATTACGTGCCAATGGTGACAAAAAGGCACTTTTCAAGTTTTTTTCTCCTGTTTGCATGCTGTAACTCCATCAATATTTTAATGCTCTTTTAGATAGTGGGTCTTAAACGTTCCTTTTGGCATCTTCATTTTTAAGGCCCTTTATGGTTCAGAGATATTGCAATTTTAATATGGCTGTTAAGTTGCACACATTTTCAGTGGCCAAAAACCAAATTGCATTCAGCTGATACTTTTCTTCTTTTAAAGAGGAATGTCTGGAGAATAAATAATGTTGAAACTAGAAATGTATCTCGTTTCCTTCTCTTTTCTTTTGAGATCTTCATTTTCAAAGCCCTACTTCATTGACTCCAGAGATATGAGGATCTCGATGCAGCTCCTGTAGTATTAAAACTAGAGCAGACTCAACATGAAATCAAAACGGACTCTTTAGTTTCTTAATAAACGCTCCTGGTCTCATTGTTAATGATTCAACCCATTACAAAGTTCATCCTCGTGATCTTCCATCAAAACCTAATAACTTGCTCCACTTCAGAAACCACCTCATCCTACATTTATTCTCACTGAACATTGAGTTTCACCTGAAAACGTTCTGAAAGCACAGAAGAACTCAACAAAGATGCAGAGGCTCAGATAAAGATAAACTTTAGTTTATTAGTGGCTATAGATAATGCTAGCGGACCATAATCATAAAAAATGAGAAAACAAGAAAGGCTACATCATCTCTGGTTAAACATCAGCGTCGGGTTACAGGGAACGGAGATGAGAAGCAGGAACAGAACAAACCCGTCACAACATCTCCATGCAACAGAACGAGACATCAGCGCGCGGATGAGGCCAAACCATCGCCAGCTTGATTCCAGCTAAATGAGCCACTTTGAAGCAGTTTCGGACGATTTAAATGAGTTTCTCACATTCGGTGTTTTTTTGCTTAACAAAAATAGACCCGCCTCATTATTCGCTTCTTATAAAAAAACATCACGTGGGCGTATTTACAAGATTAGCGTGACATTCTGGAGGTTTACGAAGATTCTCTTTCCATCGAGACGGACGCTACACTGTCACCGGGAATTGTGGGAAAGAGCGGGAAGGAAGAGGAGGAGACAGAGGGAAGGACAGGAAAATCGAGACGAACGACAGGCAGAACTGTGTGTGTGTGTGTGTGTGTGTGTGTGTGAGTGAGTGAGCGTGTGTGTGAGTGTATGTGTGTGAGTGTGTGTGTGTGT